CCGCCATCTTGGAAAAAGGGGTACAAATGGTTTTTATGGACTATGGTTTATCTGACAAACTATAGGTCTCACAAAAAAATTGTTAAACCATTTTTGGTTGCAAATAAAATTCTCTACAACTTTGATCAAGTAACTGTTAGTCGTAGAACCAAAAATAACAAAGTTATAAGCGAAAACCGATGAGAATTTGAGAAAAAAATTCTATTTGTGGTTATAACTTTTGTCTGATTTTTTTTAAGAAAATATATCAGACCATTTTTATAGAGACTTTTTTAAGGAATAATTTTCATTTTAAACTTTATTCATTAATTAAGGTTTTACAGAGCTGCGAAACGAATATTCTTCAATTCATAACTATACATAAATATTAATGAGTCGAAATAATTCTCAATCATTTTTTCATTATTTTTATGATAATTTTTATATACTGTTATTAATTTTCCCCACCACCTACGAGGTAGAGTCTGGAGGCGCGTTTTTTGCGTGGTATAATTACTCTGTCCTCGATCTTTTTGATGGACCAGGCTGCGGCTCAGGATCTGGTTGACCTTCTGTATCAAACACTTAAGGGAAAACCGGAGAAGGAAATGAAGCAGGTCGAGTTGGTGCAATGATGGAATAACCAATCGATGCCCACTTTCTTCGCGCTGCATTTAGTGACTTGCGTTTTAATTGGAATATAATTCCTTTCAATAAAACTGATTAAGTTTCAGGAATTAGAGTGTTAAAGTTTTTATTATTCCAAATTTCAATCCAATTCATATTTCATAGCGCTGTGAAGTCTTAAATATAAATTGTTACAACATTATCCCAATACGTACTGTTGTCAGTAGAATGTATGATTCGGAAGGAGAGCTTTCTTAAATTTTCTAATTTAGATGAAAGATGACCAGCCATAACACAAACACTCAATGTTAAAAGTAGAAATATTGGTAATACACTCGTTAAAGATATTGAAAGAAAGTAATCAATCGATACCTGAAATAAAAAGTTAAATTTAATTTAGAAAAAAATAATATTTTTATTATATAATTTTCAAATAATATTATAAGTAGACGGGTACTAATTAAATTTATAGATACTTAATGTCTAAAAATGTTCTCAATATGGGCTTTTGCATACGAGCATTTTGTTAACGAACGATAAACGAACGATCGATACGAAATACGAATGCAAGCATTTTTTTTAAGTTAGCGCAGAATGAAATTAGACAACGTACGTTCATGATACGATCGTCGGCGCTTTTACGAAACGTAGTGTGCATAGACCCTTAAAGTTCAGGAAGAGATTGAGAATTTTCTTTTCCTATCATGGCAGCGAGTAAAATAAATTATACTAGCTTTTAAGACACTGTAACATAATAGCATCATTGTTTTCTTTTTTCGTTAGTAAGTTTTTTTTGTGTTGTATCATTGTACAAAGAAAAAGATGCAAAATCATGCATACTTCTCATACTTACGTCTTGGTTCTTCAAATTTTGAATACATTTTTCAACAAAAATCAATGTCCATAACGTTGTTTGAACGTAAATATAAAATATCTGGAAAATAATTAAATTTCCTATATTGTAATCTATACCTATCTATACATATAATAAAATTCTAACTAAGCCGCAATTCTGTACATTAAATATTTCTTGGGAAATCTTATTAAAATAGACATTATTTTCGATACAGAGGCCGAATCAATCGTTTTTAGAATTTTTGTCTGTCTGTCTGTTACCGCATCACGGAAAAACCACTGGAGGGATTTTGATAAAATTTGGTATAGTGATAGCTGGTTATCCGGGTCAACATATAGAGTACTTTTTACCGCGGGAAAATACATCATTTCTGAGAAAATATACAAAAACTGCAATGTAAAGGTTTACTAATATGTAAAACCTAAGAATTTAGTTTTTGTTCATCTGAACGCGAGCGAAGCCGCGGGCAATGTTAGTATATAATAAAATTCTGAGCGGAAATCTGTACATCAGATATTTTTTGGAAAATCTTATTGATTATTTCAATATTAAAAAGGTACACACTACAAAGACAAATATATTGGTGTGTAAACGGCTTCAGTACTCCACGGGCCATGGCTCACAATAAGCTTACCGTCAGTGATCTATACAAATAAATAAAATTGAAGTGTCTGTTTATAATGTAAAAATAACTACTTTTACTAAAAGGCATATGAAATTATATGCGGTACTTAGAAGAAACAATTTTTAAAAATTTGTCTGTCTGTTTGTTCCGGCTAATCTCCGAAACAGCTGGACTGATTTACACTGGCATAGCTTAGGTTTTTACTTACTTTTTTTTAGAAAAAAATAGGGTTCCGCCTAAAAAAAATACACATTTATATATAAATAATAATACTTATATATAAATATAAAAACAGGCTCATACCTTAAGTTGATAGAGATATAAAAGGTCTGAAATGACCGTAACAATCAGGTGCACACTGGTCACTAATTTGTCCCACGTTTTAGTATTTAAACAATCTTCACGCTCGTTCAAAGAAGACTGTATGTGATAGATGGTTAAATTGCTTTTAGAGTTCATTTGAACATGACTCTCTAATTTTCTTATCAAGAATTCCACTTTTACGCTTAAGTAATACATAATCATTATAAATAAGATGCCGTATGAATAGCTCACTGCTGATGGCCAAGCGAGAAAGAGTAAAGGAAAGCAGAAACCATCTACGAATAAAATGATATAAGCGGTTGTCCAAATCATGATAAAAACCACGGAAAAGCACAAAGCAGTATTAGATAAACGTAACATAAATCGATTTTCTTTCTTCCGACCTTCCACATCGAGATATCGATCTATTTTTTGCAATCTAACATACATTTCAAGATTCCTTTTTTGATTAATAAAAAATCTTTCATATATAATTATAAAAACTTCCGGAAAAAATACCACATGGTAGCCCACTCTGTGATCTAATTCAGTCCAAATTGTGCGGTTTGTTTTATATTTACAATAATCGTTATGGCAATAATGCAGGAATAGATTTAAACTCCAAAATATTATATTATATACTTCAATTGATTTAGAAGGGGTAGTGATAAAACCATCTTTAATTTGAACATATAGACAACCTAATACCAATTGTAGTCTATGTATAGGTTTAAAAATATTTACAAATTCATCGTCTAAAATATCTGCGGTTAACTGTTCCAGACGTTTCGCCATCGCTAATGCCAACAGAAACTGACAAACATGTTGTACTTGTATGATAATAAATATATATAAATTGTGATCGCGATTCTCTTGGGGATTAAATATGCGTGTTAGAAGTAATTAGGTACTTTAGGCTTTTTCCTGTAGCTTCGCTTCGCTTTAAACTAAAGTAAAAAATAATATTATCTATACATATAATAAAATTCTGAGTCGAATCTGTACATTAAATATTTTTTGGGACATCTTATTGAAATAGTCATTATTATCGATAATTGTGAGTCTATGCTACGTCATTAAAAATCTTAAAAACTAGTCTTAACTAGTCTTAAATAAAGAAAATGATAACAAGAATGTCTTTTTTTTATAATAAATCTAATGTAATCGAAGCACAGATTTACTCATTTACATTGCAAATACGCATTTTAAAAACTCACGCGAGATTAGGGGAGCGGGGTCGAGAAAAATCTCACGAAATCTTACCAAGATAGATTGTCTCACGTAATTAATGGATGCTCCCTTATAAGTGTTGTAACAAACCCAACTTAATTTTACATATAGATTACCTATATTTCAGACAAATGGTACGAGCTACGAAATTAAAAATTAATAATATTAAAAAAAACTTGAAAACGGAAAAACATTAACTACTAGGCATTAAGTGCTTTAAGAATATTGATATGAACAATCATTATGATATGCATTTAATATCCCTTATGATATAGATATGTTATCTTTTTATAATAGACTAACATAATTATGTAATTTAAAAAAAGTAAACGTAGTTATTTTATCAATTAAGTAATGAAAACTATTTCATTTGTTTATCTATTATAGATAAACATCGATAGTATATCGATTAGTAAGTAATAGCGTGACATTAATGTTATTAATATAATGGAAATAATAAGGTCGACTTTTAAATTTAAATCGATCTTTCAAAATAATAGGAACGAGCACTTTACTAGCACTTTTTAGTTACATTATTTAAATTTAATTGGATGAGCTATAAATGTTTTTATATTAGTAATTGTTTTGTTCTTCATTTAGGCTTAAATATTAAAAGGTTTAAGATAATTATATATGATTAGTAAGTTTTTATTGATTGCTAAAAATATTTTTACATCCCATGGCCATTATCTAGTGCATGGATTTAAGTCAATATAGCTCAGAATTATTATTTATTAATCAAGTATCATGACAGGTTTAGACCAGATAGTTGATAGACTACACATATACCTATAATTTTAAATACATACATATAATATATAAATATAAACACCCATGACTGGAGTAAAAACATTCGTGCTCGTCAGACAAATGAATGCACCCAGCGGGACTCAAACCCGCGAACGCTGGCACAGCAAGTAAAGTCACTAGAAATTGAGTCAAGCGTGTCGTTGAATCTTGTCGTGTCTTGATATACTCTTAGGAGTATTGCAGGGAGAGAAGTTTTAGTAGAAAATGCTCGCAATACCAAAAGATTGAAACTAAATAAAAATGAAACTGGTGACTTTGAGGGGACTTCATAGAGGACATTAGAGGGTATCTAGGTTTAGGAAATTTGAAGATGCTATAAATGGGCCACACTCATTCAAGAAATAGCCCCATATAAAACACACTTCGCACTTTCACTTCTTGAGAAAAGAAAAATTAAAATTAACCAATAATTTTGAATAAAATATATATTGCATTCTTTACTCTACCACTAACACCGATACAAAGATTCGTCATCCTTACACGCTACACGTAGTCATAACAATTATAAAAAAATAATTGGATATGTATAATATTACATACATTTCTTATGTACACGTGTACATATTTTCAATATGCAAAGCGTAAGTTCTCGGGGTATCCCAGTTTCTCTAGAGCTGGGTTGCAGGCAAAGTTGATCATAGGCGGGGGTCCGCACATTAGCACGATGACGTCATCGCCGGGCGCGAACAGATGCTCCTTGATCATGGTGTCATTGATAAACCCTGTGCTATACTGCCAACCTGAAAATTGAACGTGCAAATATTTATCTATACTTTAATATTATAAATGTGAAAGTTTGTGAGTGTTTGTTACTATTTCACGCCAAAACGGCAGAACTAATCTTGGTGAAATTTGGAACAGAGATAGATTATAGTCTGGACTTATTTTTTATTCCGAGAAAATGTACGGTTCCCGTGGTATCCCAAGCCTCTAAAAAAACAAAAACAAACCTATCGGTTTGTTTTTTGTTTTCTCAGAGGCGGACCCGAGCGATGCGAGGGTGAGCCGCTAGTTTAAATTAAAAAAAAATTTACATAAAAGAATTAGAGCTTTAACCTGCCTAAATATATCGATCAATAATAAACACCGTGAAAGAGGTATACAGTGGAAATCAGTAAAGTTTACAACTTGATAAATTAGATGCGACATTATGTTTGCATTAAAAGTTAAAACAATGAAACAATAAACATATTTAAATCAACGGCTACTTTGGCTGGTTTTTAATGCGTTCTTTTTTAATATGCAGGAAAATAAGATAGTATATTAACAAGGAAATTGCCGGTACCCTACTTTTAGACCTTTAAAGTTATAATAATAGTATACCTGTAGGATCATAAAACTTAAATTTCTTTACATTTTATAAATAATTATTAAAAACATACATGATTTCTAGAAAAATGAAATAAATGGCATAATTCATTACCTTCATCAGCTTTATCAATAGTGTACCAAAGGTTGAATTGATCTGGATGTTCCCTTTGATATTTCTCTAGTTCGTCTCTTAACAATATATCTTGTTCAGTCTGATTTGCAAATAAAAGTCTAAGCTCAGTGCGATCACCTGCGTCCTTGCAAATGTGGCGTACGAGTTGCAACATTGGCGTGATGCCCGTACCACCTGGGAATTGAAATAAATTCGTTCAACTACTAAAAATATTCATTAGTTAGGTACAACACCTGTATAATTTTTACAGACATATTTAGTACATTTGTACGAGGACATTATGTGCAGTTATGAACATTTTATTTCACGTGACTTAAACATAACCATAATAGTTAATCCTTGTGATTCGTGAATAAAAGGTTTTATTTTCCTGTTTTTTACCCGATTGCGCGACGCAAAGGAGTGTAATGTGTTTATCAGTCTATGTATGTACATTTCTTTGTTGCTATTATGGCATTCTAGAGACCAAACGCGAGGACCAATATATATATAGGTAAACATTAATATGGCGGATTTTAGGCGCCAATTTGTGTCTTTAAAAAAAACTTCCAAACTAATCAAGTGTAACTTATATGTTTAAAAGTAATTTAGGATAAAAATTGCTAAATATTACTTCAAAAGCTGTAAATAAAAAAATAAAATACCCGACGGCATAAATGCTAACTAAAAAGATAAAAACAAGTTCACGAAAGAATATAGTACTATGCAGTCGGAGACATAACCTACATAATATGTACATCTCGCGGCAAGGATGCAACGTGTATGTCTTTTTATTGACATACATTTATTATTAGGACTATGTCCAATAGCGTGGACGTAAACGGTATTGCTTACAACGTGGCGGGTTGAAGGAGGTCGAAGAATCTTAATTTCTTTTTAATATCCCGCTAGAAAAGTGCAAGGTAGAAATAAAACATATACATATCGTTTAAATAAGCGTTGCGATGCACATGATTGTTATGGTCGGTTAACTATTAACCTGAACATCAAGTTTTTTTTTTATAGTATTCTGAATTAGTGCTTGACTACGTTCCACCTGATGGTAAGTCGCACTAATTCAGTAGCCACCTATTCACTCTTGCCTTGAAGAAAAAGTAAAATTTAAAAATCAATTGTATGTACATACATATATTGAATATATAAAAAAAAATATGTCCCGGGTTTGTAGGGGATGTTAATTTGTGTCCGTTTGTTTTAACAATGGTTTCCCATCACTCATGACATTAATGACTTTAAATGGACTTGAAGGCTAACATGCACAATTCATATTTTTCATTAAAGAGTTTTTTCTTTAGAAAGAACGTAAGTTACAAGATACACCTGAAGTTTGCGTCACGGTAATGTAGTGCATATATTACCGTGTTTGCGTTCTTTGCTCATCATACTCAAATATAAAATGGCATATTGTAAAGTTGGAGCAACGTAAGGTATTTATTAACTATATATGACACGCCGGCGTTACAGTTAACAATAGATTTCTTAGAAATTTATCTGAAGGTGTTAATGTAAGCTTCTAATTATAATAGTGGGCGAAGTCGTCGGTAAAAGCTAACACAAAATACAATAAATTATAAATGTTACACCTGACGCGTTTGTGTGACACAACACCGTGTTTATTTAATATATTAGTTGTACTTTATTAAAAGATTACATTCGCCTTGGCTTTGTTAATAAACGAACAAAGTGTGCAGGCGCATTCAACAATTGCTTTCTATACTTTTTAATCACGAGACTAAAGCCCCATTGGGTTTAAAAGCTTTTATCATTCTCTAGCACACAAATACCTATATAGCTTTAAAATTTCCTGTTCAGAAATAGTAACAAAAGTTAAGTTTTAGGATTTAGTGCATTAAGATTAAAGTACCTGGTTTCAAAGATAAAGTACATAATCTAAGCTGCTTATTTTCATTTCTTTTATATAGAAGTATAATAACAATAGTTTATATAAATGTCTATATAGTTTGCAACTTGACCGAAGGTTGTAAGGAGGTGGACCTCAAATTTTGAACGATTTTATAGTGAAAACCACACTTTAGAGCAAGTACAGTATTAATTATACGTTTGTGATTGTGTTTTTTAAACCGAAGTAGTTTAGCACAATACCCTCACGGAATAAGGCGGACTCTATTCTCAATGAATTGAGTGTGAAAATAATCTGTATTAATATTATAAATGTGAAAGTTTGTGAGTATGGTTGTTTGTAACCCTTTCACGCCGGAACGGCTGAACGGATCTGGATCAAATTTGGCACAGAGATAGATTATAGTCTGTAATAATATATATAGGTTTTTTTTACTTTTTTTCCCGGAAAAAATATTTTAATCGGCTTCCCTAGACGCGCTCTTTTATATAGAAGACTTATATTATGGTGAGAGTACTCAATAGAGTGCAAGGTAACCTCTTTTATGTTAACCTGCCGCGCTCGAGTAATTACAGAAAATCCCCTCTTGGGCTCCCCTACTATAATATTATAAATGTGAAAGTTTGTGAGTATGGATGTTTGTAACCCTTTCACGCCGGAACGGCTGAACGGATCTGGATCAAATTTGGCACAGAGATAGATTATAGTCTGGAATAATATATAGGCAACTTTTTTTCCCGGAAGAATGTACGGTTCCCGTGGGATGTTTGTTTTTGTTTTCCTAGAGCGAAGAAGCGCGAAGCGAGGGCGAGCTGCTAGTAAGTAAATAAATGTACTTAGCATACTTTCATAGGTTAATAGATTATTAGATTAGAACGACGTTTTAATAACTATTCATTTAAAGTACCTACTAATTATTTTAGGACCTAGCCTATTCGAATAATATATTAAAATGAAATATTGGCCATATTGATAAATGAAATTGGCAGGCAGAGTTTATGCTCTATAAATTTTCAGTTTATAAAAGAAGTTACAGAAAGTTTCTTCATGATATAAAAATGTGAAATACATTAAAAATCAATAAATAACAAAACAAAAAATAAATAACAAAATTAAGGAATAGTAATATAGGTAATTAGTTTCTGAAATATATAGTTAGTTATAAAGATTATCATAATTTTATTGTAGTAATATTCTTATTATAACCTGGTAAAATTTTTAATCATTATCATTCAATCAACGGTATTTTATTCACTGAATAGTAATAAAACAGAACAAAACAGTTATATAATATTGATATACCTAGATTACCTCATAAATAAAAAAGATACGGAAATACCAAGTCACGTTAGTTGAGATGGTATTAGTATTAAATTAATCATTATTTTACGCGCGCCGCAAGTTTGCAAAAATGTAAAAATGGCGGCTGTTGGCAATATCACAAATGTTCTTTCATAGTTAAAATATTATAAACAAAGTGAAAATAGGCAACATTGTATCTTTGATGTTTCAGGAAAAATAAGCGAATACATCTTATCTATAAGAATAAGTTCTGACCGATTCCGGCCACGGCGGCCAATATCATTGAGACTAGCCAACTGTGCAAGAGATATTATAGTGGAGCGCGTGTGCGCGCAGATACAACGTGCACTCTCTATCAGGGCTGCCAGATCGTATAATTGGATGCGAAAATTGTAAAATATGGTTATTTTATGTATATTTCATTTTAAGTTATTACGTATTTTTATTGAATTTTTTTATTCGTCACAGACTATTTCTCAACAGTTTTGTTAATCTGTATACTAAAATTTGATTTGTATAATTTGAGTGACCCAACGGTATAAAATAAGTTGTCTCTACAGTCTACTGGCAGCCGTGCTCTCTATTCCTGTCACTTTCATACTCCGGTGGGACGAATACTCGACACGACCGGTGAGAGTTAAGGCGCAGGACCGATGGTTTTATGTGTTCTCCGAGGCACGGGGGTGAAACACCGCCAACTTCCCAACTCCGGGCTGTTACTGATACTTACTGAACAGAAAGACTCAATAACTAAACTTGGCCCGACCCGAGACTCGAACCCAGGACTTCCGGATGTGCAGCTGTACCTGTTAGCCACTACACACAGTATTTTTTTGTAAAAAATAATTCATAAATATAATTATAAATATGTTGGGACGTTAACACACAGCACCATCTAGTTCCATGGTAAGCTATGAGGCTTATGTTATGGATACTAGATAGTTGATACACTACACATACATATATAACTTTAAATACATACCTACATTTATAATATATAAATATAAACACCCGTGACAGGAGTACAAACGTTCATGCTCATCACATAAATGAATGCCTCCAGCGGGGGACTCGAACCCGCGACCGCTGGCACAGCAAGTAGGGTCACTACAAACTGAGCCAAACGTGTCGTCAAATTAATTGACGATTATTATTGAATAGAGGCACTGATTGTTTTATCATACGCTGATCCTAAACGTATAATGTCAATACTTCATAGATCAGTGCACCTAGCAACATAAATCTACTAGAAATAACACTCCACAATTCACATTGTCGTCATAATATGACTACTGAAATATTAAGTAAATAAATAAATATGTTGGGACATTAACACACATCACCATCTAGTTCCATGATAAGCTACGAGGCCTGTGTTATAGATACCAGATAGTTGATACACTACAAATATATAACTTTAAATACATACATATTATAAATATAAACACCCATGACTGGAGTACAAACATTCGTGCGCATCACACAAATGAATGCTCCCAGCGGGACTCGAACCTGAGACCGCTGGCACAGCAAGTAGGGTCACTACAAACTGAGCCACACGCGTCGTCAAGTGATTATTTTAATACCAATACCATCATCAATTACCGCGTCTTGCTGTTTCCGTATCTATTTTACTCATCTATAAGGATCCCTATTTTTTTTATAATTAATAAATAAATATATTCATGTTGTTGTGTGTGTTGTCGTTTTATTATTATTTAACAAATAAAAATCTGTTCATTGTATGATTTATTTTCCTAACTACATGATAATTTGAATATAAGAATACAATTGGAGATTACAATACAATTATGGATAAGCTCTATATGGGGACGACACCTTTAGCTCAGTTTGTAATGCTTGTACTTGCTGTGCCAGCGGTCGCGGGTTCGAGTACCGCTGGGGGCATTTAGTTACTTACCGCCAACCTTCCTCATAAATAGGCAATAAAACGCAAAAATATTTTTTCAAATCGGACCAGTAAGTACACCCTGGTACTAGCGCTGGCCAAACAAACTCTTTAGCTTTATACGACCTTTAATATGTATTATGTACATTGTACATAGATTTTGCCGTGGTGGTCTGGTGGCTATAGACCCAGGCCTCGGACCTAAGACAGTTTCGAGCCCGGAATCGTCCTGCGCCTTAACTCTAACCGGTCGTGTCCAGTATCTAGTCTTAGTGAGATTACCTGCCTAGATTATTTCATTTCAGAAAAAAATGGCCTATTCACTATTTTTAATTTTTTTACTTGTAGTACATTTTTTTTAAGGTTCGACGAAAACTTATACCACCGAGATAATGAGATCGAATCACAGTTTGAAGATCATGAAAATGAGTATCTTACTTGTTAATCTTTAATAATAACATTTTTATAAAATCAGGGTACTATAATAAATCTATACAGATAAATAAAATTGAAGTGTCTGTTTGTATTGTCAAAATAACAGCTTTTTACTAAATGCATTTGAAAGTACATATATATTATTGGTAAAAAGAAAAAGACTATTTTTTAAATTTTTATGCCTGTTTTGGCTAATCTCCGAAACGGCTGGACCGATTTTCACGGGACTTTCATTGCCAGATAGCTGATGTTATATGGATGTTGTTACAAAGTTACATTGTGCTCCAGCTGTTAAAAAAAATCCTGTTTGAGGAGCTTGAATTTTTCAAATTTTGACATTTTTAAGTTCAGTACGTGTATTAAACTATAAATTGTATACCAAATAAAAATGTAATAAAAATACTGATAACTCGAGAGGTTGAACTATAATCTTTGACCAACCAACCTACTAAGTTGACGCATGTACATACATATTTACATTAGAACTCGCGCTAGAAACGTTTTATTTGTCAATCATTTGCGTTTTATAGGATAACCTACAAAATGAAATTAGGGTCGCCTATTACATAATCCTACTAATATTATAAATGCGAAAGTTTGTGAGGATGTATGGATGTGTGTTACTCTTTCACGCAAAAACTACTGAATGGATTTTAATGATACTTTACGATAATATAGCTCATACGTCAAATTAACATATAAGCTACATTTTATCCTATGTGTATGTATATTTATTAGGTAAAATGTAAACACCATTAAGGTGTTTATTTACCTCTTAAAGACATATAGTATTTAATAGACATTATTTTTTTTTCCTAAACTTACCTGCAATCATGTTAACTTTGTTAACATTTATTTCAACCGGTGGGTCTTTTCTTAGCTTCTTGATTAAGAATTTTCCATTTCCAGCATATTGCAGTCTTCCTGATGGTCCTCTAAAGTCAATTGTGTCACCAATTTTCATATCATTCAAGTATTGAGACATTTTGCCACCATCGGGAAACTTTGGGTGGACATTTTTGAAATATACCTTTAAAAAATAAAATTGAAAAAGTTACAAAGTCAATATATGAACTAATCATAATATTAAGTGTATTTTGGTAAAGATTAATGCCTTTAAAATTTTATTATTTTACAATTTGAAGAATAGATGCCAGATGTCAAGTTACTAATATGTAATATCTTTTAATTAAAGAATTGTTTCATCAAAATCTTATTAATTTAGAGACCATAATCTTCATTAGAATATTAGTTACAGAGTAAATATTTTTTATTATTATATTATACCACTTTTATGAGTATTTTAAAATCTAATTAAAACTGAATACAAAGGGAATTGATGTAATTAACAAAATATATTTTTATGCAAATAAAATTTGCATAATATATATACATATATATTATGCAAATTTTATAATTCATTACTCATATTAAAATTTTGGTACTTCCAAGTACAAATTTTTGTACTTTCAAACATCCTTTAAAACAACTGCTGTAAGACATAAAAAGCTAAAAGTAAAATATTGCAATAAAATATTAAAAATAATACTTGTCTTATTACCTTAATAACTAAGTCAACATAACCCTTTTCTTCATCACTAGACACAGGAGTGTAAGCTCGTATAACAAGATCATCTTCTATCTTAACTGATAAATGTATGTGTTGACCAATCGGCAGTCCTACAAGTAAACTATTTCTTGTAATAATATTCTAAATAATAACCATAGTATAGTACATATATTAAAAGTAACAGAAATATACTAACAAACTGTAGATATATGTAAAATATGTAACTATTAGTTCTAACAATTATTATTATTTTTTGTCTTCAGTTTTTGTATGTGTCTGTTGTAAACAAATTGCTCTGTTTCTTTGACATTGGCGAAATAAATTGTGCCCACATGGCACTCCTAGAAGCCTTCTATACATATAATAAGATGAACAATCTATACATATAATAAAATTGTAACTAAGATGAATCTGTACATTAAATATTTTTTGGAAAATCTTATTGAAATAAACATTATTATCGATACTGAGGCCGAATCTATAGTTTTTAGAATTTTTGTCTGTCTGTTTGTTACCGCATCACAGAAAAACGACTGGAGGGATTTTGATGAAATTTGGTATGGTAATAGCTAGTTATCCGGGTCAACATATAGGATACTTTTTACCGCGGGAAAATATCTCATTTTTGAGAAAAAATACAAAAACTGCAATGTAAGAGTATACTAATATGTAAAACCTAAGAATTTGTTTGTTGGTCACCTGAACGCGGGCGGAGCCACGGGCAATGCTAGTAGTATATAAAAATGTAGTAGTCCTTTCGTTATTAGATTAAAAATACACTGAAATTGTAGATATTAACTTTATGAATTTTGAATGAAGGATGTAAACTTGACATGACATAAGTTACTTTTATACCATTACATATAATATACTATTTTATAATAAAAAGTTACTTAATGATAAAAAGGATAGGCTTGGGGTTAAGCCCTAAATAAATCCTTTATAAAAACAAAGCAGGGATTATAAACATAACTATGTATTATAATATTATACTCAGAAAGGCATCATTATCAGATAAATAAATTATATGTTATCATGTAAAAAATATCATAATAACAAATGAAAATGATATACATGTTCCAAATTTTTTAAGCACATTTGCAGCAAAATACATATAAAGTATTAATATACTAGCCATTCACCCTCGCTTGACTCGGGTCTGTTCCTATGTTACATCTCTATACAAACTTTCATCCCATTTTTACCCCCTTAAGGGATGATTTCCGAGATAAAAACTATCCCAGGGTGTCAAACTTTCTTCTTACCAAATTTCATCTAAATCGGTTCAGTCGTTTTGGAGCTTATTCGGTACAAACAAACAAAAAAAAACTTTCTTCTTTATAATATTAGTATAGATAATAATGTTATACAACATAGTGTACATAACTTTACTTGTCCTTGACTAAACCACTTATTGATAACACATCTCAAGCCAATCGATAACAGATTACAAATTGTTCATAAGTAAAACTGTGCTGACACCATTTAATTTTGATGACGCTTAAAAATGTTGCCAATGAAGTTTTATTTGAAGGTCACATTTCACTTTTAAGGATTTTTTTAGGAATGTCATAAAAATAAAAAATAATATGTTGGTGCATTAACACACAGCACCATCTAGTTCTATGGTAAGTTACAAGGCTTGTGTTATGGATACCAGTTAGTTGATACACTAAACATATATAACTTTAAATATAGTGTATGTGTTATTCGAGACTATAATATATCTCTGTGTCAAATTTCATCCAGATCCATTCAGCCGTTCTGGTGTGAAAGGGTAACAAACATCCATACTTACAAATTTTCACATTTATAATATTAGTATAGATTTTTATATACCTAGTAACTGATAATGTTTATCACAGTGCACATTTATTTCAATTACATAATTATTATAGAGGAAGATAGTTGTAGTAAGTACACAATGTGACAACACAATGATATTAAATTGTTATATACTTAACTAAATAATCTTGTATACACAATTGCATATATAATATATATAATAAGTGTAAAATATTTTATAAACATACTTTTAGGGCACATCATAAAAATATTTTGTTATTTCTATTCTACAATAGAAAGTAATATGATATACATTATATGTATTAAGGTTAACGTTTGCATTTACTTAATGTTAATAAAAATAATTGCTGCTTACCTAAGACATGATCACGTGACGGTAATCCAAATCTGAACCGTCTCGTGTCATGACTAATATCTTCCCGTTCAATAAGAGGTAGAGCATATTTTGTGTTAGGGTCCACTAATGCAACAAGTTTCTTACTTTTGGAAGATTTGTTACCAAAAAAGTAACGAGCAAAGACATTTGCTATCACAACCACAGAGCCCACTCCGATGATAATTGGAAAAACCTGTAGAAAACATTGCATGTAATTTTATTCTTCATATTGAGACAATGGATTGGGACTAGTTTTTAAAATATATACTCGAAAGTCCAGATAAGATATATTAAATAAAAATTTATTGGAAGGTTAAATTTATGACTAATATTTATGAGAAATATAAGTCTAGACGATATTGGACTAGAATTTAATAAGGTAATTCCTGTAGAAGCACATTTATTTTTCACTTTAAAAAATAACAACATACTGTTATTTTATTTAAGATTTCGAAGACCGCTATTTTTAGGTTATCCATATTATCACTAAGCACACGTCAATACACTTGCTTTAATTAAATCTTAATAAGTAAACTCAAAACTGTAAAATACGCAACATAGATATCGTAAGTAGAAAAACGATAAACAGCTGTAATGCCTTGAACTTAGTTATCACGATAAAATATTTTAGTCCAACGAGACTTAAAATATTATAATTACAACGGTGGGAAACTTTGAACACTTATCAAATAAAAAGAAGACATGGAGCATGACAATCGCTTTTTTAAATTACACTGATAGCGCATTCTTAAGTACTATTTACTAACCAAACTCATTTTGACGAGCTAGACGATATCCATTGAATAACTAAGCAACGGAAAGGCGAATTAAGACAAATAAACATTTTATCAGATAAGTACGAAAATAAATTGATAATTTAGATAAACAATCAGATACTTTCAGTATCTAATAAAAAGTAACCTAACTTATTGCGTTTCTTTAATCTTTAATCATAAGCACAAAGGACTTACCAACTTATAACTTATTTTAATGGTATTCATTTTTAATTATAATGCCTAGTTTTTTTAACAAGTCCCAATTAAAATTTTGACCATGTCACTTTTACTTTGGGAAGGTAAATAGTGAATAGTGATGATGTTATGGTGGATGACGGAAAACTATTTTAGAAATTAGAATTCTTTACGCTTTTGCATTGCATAAGACAATACTAGCGCGTCCAGAATTTATTTTAAGAATCCTCACGTGAACTTCACGAAAAGGTTGATTTGGTCCATTTTTCTTTGTATATAAATAAAAAGTATAAATTATAGTTATGTTTTCAGGAGTACGAAGGCAATATAATATATTATTATTATATTGTAAATTAAGGTATACTTTTTAATATTTAACACGATGGATTATATTCTTCGGAGTCCCTAAACTATATTTCAATTTTCAATCATAATTCAATATATAAATCAATAAATAATTGATTTTTTTTTTCAAATAGATGTTTTGTTTTATACCTAAAATTGAAAAAATCAAAAAGCGCGCTTCAAGCTTCTGGCCTCTGTAATCTGTGATGTTTTTTTTAATGTTATTTAATAATTAATTTCGGATTAGGATAGCATAAGTTTAAAGATCATTCAACCTAATGAGGAACAATTTTGGCTTTTTGTCCCGCTAGATGTCGCGATCACTACGATCCTCAGTATATTGTAAAGCTCTATATCGTGGATGGAATTTGTTTCATTTTATTTAAAATTTAATTAAAATAACAAATTGTGCAGTGCTAGAATGCAAAAAATGGATATCATTTGTTCCCAAGAGGAAAAAATGAAGAAATTGTCGGCTAAAGCAATAAGATGACCATAATTGGCGAAATTACAATCTTTACATTTAAGGTTTATGTGGTCATCATTTTTTAGAAAGTGATTTTAAAACTCTTAAATCGTCTACAAGTGAATAATTTTTTATTTTTGTACTTTTTACATATTAATTATAGAGTTTGATACAAACTTTCATCCCCCAATTTACCGATTAAATTTTGAAAAATGCTTAAACACGTATTTATTTAATTGTGTTGAAGAGCATTCATACCAAGTTTCTAGTAATTCTAATAAAATTTATTTATTTATATATTTGCTTATATATACTTTATTACCCCCTTTTACTCCTATAAGGGATAAATTTCGAAATAATCGAAACTAAACACCATTTTCTGTGTATTTCACATTAAGAATGACAGAGTTTCGTACAATCTTTACCCACTTAGGGGATGAATGTCGAAAAATCCTTTCTTATTGGATGCCTACATCGTACAAGAAATACGTCCTCCAAATTTCATGTTTCTACGACCAGCGGTTTACGTTGTATGTTGATCCATCAGTCAGTCAGGACCACTGCTAACTTCTCAGTTCTTCCTTTAGCTGGTCTAACTTCCAGGTACAATACATTGCGCAGGTAAGATCGAATACAATAGAAGCAAAAAATCAGGTATAAAAGAGAATAATAAATTGCTTAACCTCAGACTGTAAATAGGCCGTACGTGTGGCGCCCTCTTTTCGAGAAATTTTCCTCATAAGTGTATTTGTGTGAGCTTAGCGAAACAGGCTCTAATACAAAAAGAGCAACTTTTGAATTTTTGGTATTTAATTTTTAATTGTTGTTTTTTGTCCAGTTAGAAAACTGGTGGTTTATTTTTGTTGTTGTGATAGCTTCGGGAATCGGAAGAGTAAAAGTTCTTTACAATCTTCGATCAACAATATTACTGTTGATCGAAGTTTACAATAGATGTCATAATGTTCTTTTTAGCAATTCACAAATGTACCTACATACTATTAATACGGGTGTATCACATACTGTATAGCCTTAATTCTATCACTATTTTTTTACACTTCACTTTCATTTTATACCTTATTTCTTTTTTTAATAGTATCTTCTCGACTTTTACTGAACTATTAACTTATGACTACGCAACTATAGCATTCACCCTGCCATGTGTGAATGGTACAGTCATGAACGAGTGGCTAATTCGTTCATGGGTACAGTTAGGTATATGTAAATAATTATTAAGTGAAATAGGGGCAACAATAAATAATAGAAGACAGAGGGTTAATTTATGAATTTCAAAAATATTCACATAGTATTTCCGAATTAATTATATTAAATTTAATTATTTAAAATTAATTATACAAAGGTTATAAATTAAGTTACATTACTGTGCTAGAACTCTGAAAATCAATTTATTTTGTCAATTAACGATTAGCCAGATGTAAAGTAAGTACATGTTAAAAAATTCATTAAAATGAAAGAATTAATTGCTCATATAAATATGAAAGAAAATTAACTCCGGATATATTTTTGCTTAAGAAAACAGACTTCTAAAAATATTTGAATGAAATGGATTTGGTCTGAGAAAGCGGAGATTTAATAAATAAATATATCGTAAAAGCCAAAAAAATTAAATTCCCCATTTAAAGTTCCCAAAAGTAATTGTGTAAAGAATACCTATTATAAATATTTTTGAAATTTTGTATTATACAAAGACTGAGGAATAATATTTTAGTAACGCTTGTATGTATAATTTAAACCTCACATAATATGTATAATTTGTAGTCTTGTGCACTATAATATCTCCCGCGCAGATAGCGTCGTAGTGTGGTCGAAATCGGTTGGGAGGACATTATTATTATTACTTTGGCTTTTCGTTTCTCACAGAACTAAATGTCTGTAGCAACTATATAACAACTTTCCAGACGTCTATAATCTTAATGTCGCCCAAAACCTTTTTTGCTGTAAAGCATCCTAAACGTCGGGAACTATGGCCTGATCCCCCTTGTATTGAAGGGAGGCCCGTACCCAGCAGTTTGATATTAAAAAAAGGCTGATAACGAAATAAGAATGATGGTAAATAACGAATTAAAATTAAAAAAATATACATACTTATGCTCTATTTGTAGGCCTTGATTTTATTAACTATGTAAACATAAATAAAACGAAAAAATATTCTAAATCAATTTATTTTACTGTTATAAATTACAGGTAACATTGTTTATTAAATCACTTTTATCAGGCGCTTTTAGCAGCAGTCATTAGAATAACTTTTATTGTTCTAATATTATGTACAGTTATATTTTATATAATATATTTTTTTTAAATATTACTAGCGACTTACCCTTGCTTCGCTCGGGTGCGTCCCTAGATGCCTTACAGTAGCTTATGTGTTACTCCAGGTCACAGCCGATACTAAATTTCATCTAATTCCGTCAAGATGTTTCAGCGTGAGGGAGTAACAGACATACATACACACATATACAAACTTCAGAATTTATAATAGTAGTCTGATTATGTACATACATTGTTTATACTTCACTTTTTTAATTAGTCGCAATAATTTCTTTAACACTTTGCGTAACTCCACTCACCAGTACGAAAGCCCCGAATACGGCTAGTAAAGAATCTTTGATAAGAATATAGTTATATTTGCCGAGGCCTCTTTCCCAGCAAAATATGAGATCTATCAAAGATGGAGCGACTAAACCAAGAAATGAATAGAAGAACGCGCCCTCTAGTCCGATTACTTGCTCCAGTCTCGGTAACGATGCTGCTGCTATCACTATAAAAGAATGAAGGTAGTGTAAATTATAAGAAAATATATATACTAATAGATGAAATGAGGCAGTGGCAACGCGCTCGCTTGGGAAACCGAGTAAAGCAGGTTCAAATCCCGGGTCTCGCACTTTAGATATTTTCATGTGCGAATAATTTCTAACATAATTACCACTTGAATTACGGTGAAGGAAAACATCGTGAGGAAACCTGCATGTCTGAGAAAAACTAGCAAGTTTTCGAAAGACATATAAAGTCTGCCAATCCGCACTCGGCCAGCGTGGTGTACTTGGCCTGATTCCCCTCGTATTGAATAACATTGTAATAGTGTACAAAAACTAAATAAATAATGATGACGATGTCCTCCCGACCGATTTCGGCCACGGCGGCCAATCTCATTGAGGCTGGCCAGATACGCAGGATATTATAGTTCACAAGTGTACGCGCAGACATAATGCACTCTTTTGACTCTCTTCTCTCTTTCTCTCTCTCACTCACTCATTCCTGTCACTTTCATAATCCGGTGGGACGACTACTCGACTCGACCAGTGAGAGTTGAGGCGCAGGTACGACGGCTTTACGTACTCTTCGAGGCACGGTGGTGAAACACCTCCAACGTTACTGAGGCTTACTAAACAGAAAGACTCAACTAACTTTGGTTTGGCCCACCTAGGACTCAAACCCAGGACCTCTGGATGTGCACATGGTAGCAACTACAGTCCACACCACCGAGGTCGATAAATAAATAAAATATTAATTATATTATCGACATTTACTGAACTACAATCAACGCAAATTATTTATTTATATAAATTATTCTAATAAATGATAAAATAGTCTTATTACCCGTTAAAATAGCAAATAAAGCTCTCATAATTGCTTGGGCGAGGTTGTGGTATTTCTGAGCCACATGTTGTTTCGTATTTCGCCAAACTATCTCCATGGGTACGTAGAATTGTAAAACATATGTGAAGAAAATTGCCAGAATTATAAAAACTTTAGCCATTAGCGCTGGTCTGAAAAGAAGAAAACATGGGGTTACACATATATTATTTTGGCTATAAGAATGCAATCAAGTCGACAGCTGAATGCTGTTTATGGTAAGTAATAACCATAACTATAACTCTACAGGCAACACTTGTGCGTGTTCCTTGAGGGGATGGTGGCAAATAAGAAAGAAAAAAAAAGAAAAAAAACCCGGCTGCGTACAAAACCCGCGATCTCTGAGTAGACAGTGACAATCAAATACGTGTCAAACTTCGCCGCGACGACCTTTAGAATTAGAGTTAAATCTAAACTTAACAAAAAGATTCTCAGACCTAATTGATATTAATAAAAATGACCGATTTTTATTAATATAAGTACGAGTCGGGCAATAGGAAATATGTATGAATTTTTTATGTAGTCCTAATAAGTTTATTAATTTAAAATATCTATTTTTATCTAGTTTTTCACTTTTTTAACCACTGTGGACGAGACAAGACAAACATCTAAATATTTCTTAATATTTTTTACAGTTTTATAATGGTATATTTTAAGAATATTATAGATATACTAGCGACTCACCCTCGCTCCGCTCGGGTTCGTCCTTGGGGTGGGGTCTGGGAGGACCACCCTTATCCTTATCACTTAGGGGTATGAAAAATAGATAGTAACCGATTCTCAGACCTACTGAATACGCATATAAAATTTGGTAAAAATCGGTAAAGCCGTTTCGGAGGAGTACGGTAACAAACATTGTGACATGGAAATTTTATATATAAGATAATAGAATTATAGACTTTCATCAAAATAACTGAGAGTAGGTTTGTTAACGTGCAGTAAGCTAATCAATCCTTCGAAGATCAAATTGAATATGAATTAACTATTTAGCACAATTTTGGAAAACATTATAATATGTAAAGACCAATGTTACATATTTATATCTGTATTCACCAAAAAGATTACCATTTGATAAGAAAGAAAGAATCCACCGTAATAACATATATACTTTAACCGGATTAACCGTATATAATAAAAATGTTCACTTATTAAATGTCTTTGTATGACACAGTATTTTAGAGAACAAACAACAGACTAATAGACTTTGGACCGAGAAATGGGCTAGCAATTCGACAGACAGTCACAGTATAGAGTTCTAATATAGTTTCGAGAGGTCTTTAGAGAATTAATCACTAAAATATTGTTTTTTTCTTTAAAGGAGAGTTTTTGAATTACTGCATTTGGAAAATACCGTTAGAGGATAAGATAATTAATTGAATTTTTAGTTTAATAGATGTTAAACAAATTCTGTTTGGATGAAACTTTTTTAATGAAAATAAAAGTTCCTTCAATATTTTTTATATCTTAAAAAAATACGGAAGTAATTACATTTCTTCAGTTGGCAAGTTCAGCGTGATGCTGCCCTGCGCGTTGTCTCCGTAGCGCAAATATCCTAAAATGCCCATAACCATGTATAGTCCCACCACTATACTCATTGTAATGTTCAAAACTCCAGGGCAACCCAGAAAATGTTGTGGTTTAGCCATTGTGTTCTCCACTGGTAACACTACCCCAATCCCTTCCATTGCAAATATAACTGTACTGAAACAATTCAAATTGTTACTCAACAAGTATATATCAAATAATAATAATTAATATTGTATGTACATTCGCTACAATTAAAATTTTAACTTAGACTATAATTAAAAAGAGAAATAAGATATAACATGAGAGCAATATAATATGAGGTAAGGTAATGATTATTATAATTTAATTTTCTCTAGTTTTACTCAATATAAAATATTTTAAGTTTCACGTTATTTAAATTTAGCTGGTATTTGTAACCTTATGTATCTATAATAATTTGCACCTTTTAGCTAAATAGATATACAAACAGAACAAAAGTTATTTTACTTATTAAACGAAACTTGATGAATTGATTTATACAATTAAAAAAATCGATCTTACCCAATAAACAGCGGTAGCCTGCCAACTGGTACCGACATCGGTTGTGAATCAAAACTAGGAAAATCGGAGCATATATAATATAAACATATTAGAAACGTTAGTACCAATAAAATGTTGGCGAATCCAGAAAACGGTGCGATATATTTCAGGTTTTTGATTTGTGTAAAAATTAAAATTGGTACTAGAAATATTAGACAGTACATAGTTGTGTTCAGCTTATTGTCCGTTGCAAAGTGGTCAACGATCTGAAAATGAATAGATTTTTCTTTATAGTTAACACTATAACTGTATGATATATACAACACCTTAACAAAGGAGGTTTAAATATTTGTTTTTCTAAAACTTATATTTAATTGCAGTAGGTTAAAGTCGTCAGGCTATTAGCACATAGTCGCAGAAATAATAAAAGCTCAAACAAAAAGAAAATGAATATTTAATGTTGTCAACAGTGTATTAATTTTTTATGCTGCATTTTTGTGAAATACTTGTAATGTAAATAGCAATTCAATGCGAGGTTTATCGTAACAATTATATTATTTACCTATACTAATATTATAAAGAGGTAAAATTTGTGAGCTTATGAGGTTGTAGGGGGAATCTCTGGATCTATTGAACGGATTTAGATGAAATTTGGTAAGAAGATAGTTTGAGACCCTGGGATAGTTTTTATATCGGAAATCATCCCTTAAGGGGGTGAAAATGGGAATGACAATTTATATGGGGAATCAACCTAGGAACGAACCCGAGCGAAGCGAGGGTGAGTCGCTAGTCGGTAATAAATAGGTACCTATAGTGTAGGAATAGCTTAAAGGTAGGTATGGTATGGTATGTAATGAATATGACGTGGCTTTATCAACTTAAATGCAAAAAAATATATAATTTGATGTTGATAGCTGTCCAAAATACCTGCTGTACAGATTCCACTAGTAGGATGACATACACAGCGCAGGCGCCAAGAATTGTGAAAGCCATCGCCCAGTCTATAAATATCCTGAAACGTACACAAATTTCATGTCTTCCTCTTTGTCAATGCAACTCTACAAAGTATTATTACAGAAAAATTATATAGTAAATATATGCGAAAGTTCAAGCAAGTATCCTTGGCAGTTTGTTTGTCATATATATATGAATTCTCCCATATGTAATAAGGAACTTATTACATAAAGCCGTGCTCATATATACAAAATGGTAAACAACTAGAGTCGCGCGTATGCAAAGATAAAATTTAAATACCAAAACTGGTTTAAATGAATTATAATAAATTTAACTACGGAACCCCGAAATCAATATTTCAATTAAAATGACATTGAGTGACAATTCCCTATATCACGTTGCTAATGAATGGGCGCGAAAGTTTTTATTCTTTGACGAATCATTATTTCAAGGAGACCTATTGATACCAATAAATATATTAACAGTTCATGTAATCTTTTATTAAAGCCGTTTTTTTTTCATTTGGTTTATTATATCCCTCAAATTAATATTAGAGCAATTTTTTCAAGTTTCCTCGAAATAAGTTCACACGTGTGAATGTGTAAAAATGATAGGCTGTAAAGTATAAAAACGTTAAATATTTAAGCAGAAAATAACTATATTTTACCAAAAAAGTTAAACTATTGAAAATGTTAATTAAAAAACTAATTTTTTTTATTTTTGTTTCATACATTATACCTTCTTATAAAATGTTATAAAGCATTACCTAGTAAATTTTGAATATTTTCGTAAAGCTTGTGGTCCCGTGGCAAACACTGCTTCCACTGTCTCGGCATATCCTAAAGATGGTACTTTTGACACTCTAGAGACATTTTGCGATGTTTTTACCTGGAAAATTACCATTAGATTTTTTTTAGTAATTACTAAGCCTTCACCCATATTTTTAGTGACTGTTAAGATCCATTCATTGTATTAGTACCGGTTTAGAAAAGGAAAAATATGCAGCTTAAGATATCATTCAACTCAACTGATTGAAATTAAACTCGTAATATGCGACTGACCGACATATTATTATTATACTGTCCAATCTTCTTCAATAAAGAAGGGGCTATATATTTTAAATTCGTACAAGTAGTTTTTGGGCTTACGACTAAACTTTAGCTTTACTAAATCTAAGTTTAGTTGTGATCCGCATTTATATGTATCGGGATAAAAGTACCTAGCTTAAATGTAATTTTTCGGCCTGCAAATACTAACATCAAAAATGTTGCAACTGTAGGTATACAGAGTTGCATCCTCTCTCATATTTTTTGTGCTTATTTATGTTTTTAATGTTTATTTGTGTATACGTGTTAATTTGAGAACAATTCCTGTGGAAAGTTTTATGCTCCTAAAACAATAACAACAGTTTTACGCTGTGACTCAATGTCAGTGAGTATTATTAAGTATAGATTTGACATTAATAGTATGTATCTACCTATATAATTATCGTAAAAGCAAAATTTATTAAAAATATTCTATCCTATTAATATTATTACAAACGGGAAAGTTAAAGAAGGTTTTTTGTTTACATGTTTGTTTTAATTCCACACATAGGTAAGTGTATAAAAGAATTTGAAGGAAAGTCAGCACATAGATAGGTCATGTGCTGGACTATGTATCTAATACTATAAATATGTTCTGGGACTGAGCTGCAACTTTGATTTTATTTTAAAAGCACTTTGGTTCCTAATTTATTAATAAAGTCTAATAATAAGAACAGAGAGATTATACTATTGACGCTGGCACAGCCGCAGAAATTAGTTTTAGATGATAACAACAGCTTTTCTACGATTTTTTCATATAATAGCTCACGTAGAATAATATTATTAAAATGTTAGTAAAAAGCTTGATTAAAAAAAATGATTTACCAATAAATATACGCAATGTGTACAAATATATCCTAAGATGATTGTGCCAAATATACCAACGATTGTCCCGGCGTTTTTGAATGCAGCCGGCATTGCAAGAATACCTGATCCCAACGACGATTTGAGGAGATTTGCAAACGATCTGACGTCTCTGAAATATATAAATATGACTTAATATCTGCGAGTAAAACTTTATATTGCGTTTTGAACTATTTTTGTCAAAACTTACGAATTAGGGTGTTCCAGTTTTCTGTTTTGAAAAGGGTCGTAAGCATTTTCTATTTCCCTTTCTTTACACTTTGTGTTAATTGTGTTGATTGAAATAGTAGATGGGTAGACTCCATTTTCTGTAATGACTGCCCTGAGAACAAATTAGTAGAAAAAAAAAGATTAAAAATTATTATTTATATTCTTCTTATTGGATACCTAAGTATAAAAAACGCATTTCAACGTAATTGTTATTTAGTTGCAAGAAATAAATGAAATTTTTTTACTATATGAAAAGTCAAGAACGTGTAGTTTTGTGAATTAACCCGGAACCTTCATAGACAAATTACGTGATTAAATGTAAAAAATTCAACAAGTGCGAATCTGCCTCACGAGCTAATGCTTTGCATACCAGTATAGAATGTTACGTTTAAAGTGTTATTTATTTGTTACGTTAAAAATACATTTGTATATATTATGGTATTTTCATTGAAAGTATTTAGATTTGTCAGAATTTTTCAACTTAGACTTTAAATTAAATTTTAAGGAATGTGTATATATGGTAGGTTTTATCAAGAAATTATTAATCAATATATGTCATTCCTTTATTTTTATGGCTTACTCAATATTTCATAGATATTATTTTGATAAGTAAAAACCAATGTAGTATTTGCGGTAATTAAACAACGCGATGTAGATTGTACTTATGCATACAACTAAATATCTTCATTTTCCGCATTAAGCTGATGTCATTCAAGGTCGCATATTTTAGGAAAGCATTTAGATACCTATGATTGGAGTTTTTCCAAGCAATTATAAAATGATTAAGTGAAACGGTATAGATATAGAAGAACAAAGTAATATAAAACCTATTAATAAGTTAAATATTTTTTTAAGAAATAATAAGGAAAATATTGATAGATTTCAGCTTTAAATTAAATATTCCGAATAGAAAAATATTATTTTTGAGTTTAATCTTATAATATATACGTAGGATAAAAATGTACAAACAAAAATATGAGGTTTGACGAGATAAAGATTACAATGTATGAAAACAGAAATATTTGAATTATTTTGAGTTCTATCATTAGGAGTGTAACTTTTCTTGAAATTAATATGAGACCACACTTGAGGTATAATCTTTATAGGCGTAGATTGGTGTAAATTGGACAGCATAAAACACCCGAATAGAGTAGGTACATCTTTTTCCGAAGTCGGTTAAAAAGGCTAATGTTTATAAATATAATTAGGTTATTTCACTGATATACTATATATTCCAATGATATATATGGATTTTCTCTGGAGTCTAGACGGTGTTATCGGCTTCTAAAAAACGAATGTTTTCACCGAGAGATATGTACATATATTAGAATACCTTCATCATAACTCATGTTAAGATACATAAAATAATAGTCACACTAAGATTATAAATGTTAAAACTCTCATATATAGGATATATGATAAAAGTTTTCATAATATTTCTGCCTGTTTGTGGAGATTGCTATATAGATAAATAAAGCCCGATGGATCAATGCAGAAAATAGGTACTGCTTGTCGGTATGTATGTATGACACCCTTTATTGTATGAAGTGTATGTTTGTAGAGTAAGAATGTGCAAGAAGCTACAAGGAAATACGAGTATCTACTGAATTGATATTACATGGAAAAAATAGATTTTATACACAACTTTTGGATACCATTTTGAGGGAAAAGAAATAATTATTCATAATTAATTTTCTATATTTAGATAAAAGTTATTAAAAAGCTACAAGTATTGTAAATTAAAATGACAAACTCCTAATGGAGATTATATAGAATTGATTGGTTATGTTATATATACGGTACTTATAATAAAAAAAAAACAATTTAAAAAAAATGTCTGCCTGTTTGTCCCGGCTAATCTCTGAAATGGTTGGACCGATTTTGACGCGACTTTCACTGGCAGATTACTGATTCTATAAGGAGGAACTTAGGCTACATTTATTTAAGAATTTACTACGTACAAAAAAATTAAAATCCACGCGTTTGCGAACAAAATCCTCGTACCCAGGGACGCACGCACCCGAGCGAAGCGAGGGTAAATCGCTAGTCTCTATATAAATATGTACTATGTAAAAATTATCTCTGACTATTTTATTAAATTAGCTCTTCAATGAGAAACAACTGTATGCAAAGTATAATAAAAGATTACTGAAACATTGACGTTAAGCCACAAGATAAATCTTTTAAAGTGTTATTTCTATAGTAACACACCACTAGCACCTATTTATTTCCTCAGTATTTCAACGATGAAAACGTTAAAATAAAATAAATGTAGAAATATAAATAAAAAGTTTTTTTTTTCAAATTAATATTTGTGTTTGTTAAGATATTCTTTTTTTTACTATTTATATTGCATTCTTTGTTTGTGTGTATCCAGCCCTTTTAAAGTCCCACTGCTGGGCACGGACCTCCCTTCAATACGAGGGAGATCAGGCCGTAGTCCACCACGCTGGCCAAGTGCGGGTTGGCGGACTTCACATGTCTTTCGAAAACTTGCTAGGTTCTCTCAGACATGCAGGTTTCCTCACGATGTTTTCCTTCACCGTAAGGCAAGTGGTAATCATGTTGGAAATGATATGCACATGAGAATATCAGAGGTGCGAGACCCGGGATTTAGCCCCGCTTCACTCGGTTTCCCAAGTGAGCGCGTTACCACTGGGCTACCACTGCCTACTCTCTGTTTAAACTCTTATAATTATTTAACTAATGAAAATCACGCAAAAAATAGTATCAAATCAAAAATACAATGTTTATGTGTATATTCAAAATCTCACTAAATACGTAAAACAACAGCATATAAAATGTGAATGATTCTCGATTAATTGTTTGATGATGAGTGATCATTATAGACTTACCTCGTTTTTATTATTCTTACAAATTAAGCACCAATCATTTAGTCGATTAAGGATAAATATTATACGAACACTTAAGGTAATTTGTCTTAATCTTTAGTTTTATATTTAGGTCATATTTAGTTTTATAGTGTATACTGTACATATTTTCTTCAATTACTTACTATTCTTTATATAATTACTTCATATATATTAGGGTAGGCTTTATTAATATAGCTTTATTTTGAGAGGTAAGTCAATTAATAAATCATATAACGATTGATAAAAGTTATGAACAGCGGTGAACAAGTGTCGACAGACGCGTTGGTGATTATTATTTTAAGATACCAGCGCGAGTCATTTATGTGCACTTAAAGACTTAAAGGATTATGTGTATTAGAATTGTGCTTTGTCACAGAAATAATCTACAATATACTTGACACGGAATAAAATAAAGTATGATATGGCGTTCTAAATTTTAAGACGTATTCAGAAAAACTAATGATAGGTAGGTATTTAATATTTCATTTTTAATCAATCCACGACCGCGGACACCCCGAGGTGTCAGTTAACAATAGATTTCTTAGAATTTTAATTAATTTCTTAGAAATTTACCTGGAGGTGTTAAAATTTTAAGAATTGGTACCTACTATGTTTGAAACGGATGTACTTAGATATATTTTTAGACTAATGTTTTTACCGATTGCCTAGAGATGACTCTACCGATGATCTGAATGTTTTAAATTCTATTCTATTTATCGTTATAAGTCTTATATTTGTAATTTTCTTTATTGTAAATAATTCATCAGTTGATCTTGTGACGTCACATGTTTTTATTTACGTTGAGCATAACGTTTTCGAATGTAATATCTCATAAGTCAATTTTTACGTGAGATTTTGCAAGTGTTGTATTTCTAATTAGTAATTACAATACAATAATTTGGGAGTATGAAACTCTTCTGACGATGTCGAATGTAGTCAGTTTTAACGAGTTCAATATTGTAGGTAAAAATGACTAATCCATACAAATATTGATAAAAGGCATTAATTTTAATTTTAAAGTTATAATTTTATATATGTACTAGCGACTCACCCTCGCTTCGCTCGGTTTCGTCCCTAGTCCCAACTTACGTTTTAAGGTTTGGTATAGATTTTTCAGAGATGAGATATTTTCCCGCAGTAAAAAGCATCCTATATGTAGACCCGGATAACCAGCTATCATCATACCAAATTTCATCAAAATTCCTCCAGTAGTTTTTTCCGTGATGCGGTAACATACAGACAGACAAAAATTCTAAAAACTATAGATTCGGCCTCTGTATCGATAATAATGTCTAATTCGATAAGATTTATTCGAATTTTATTATATGTATAAATTAGTTAGACTTACCCTTATTAGTTTTCCCGAAGGAATAAAAGATTTTCCTATAGTGTAAGGTATCCTAAATGTTGACCCGAGTAATAAGTTATCACATCACCTAATTCAGTTCAAATAACTTTAATACTTTTACATACGCATGATATGCAGACAAATAGACACACAGCCAAACACATTACAAAAAATTCAATAACTATCTTTTTGGGGTCCATATTCTAATATTTTGTACACAAATTTGAAAATTATGTCATGTACAGATTTCTTTTTATTATAAGTAACTATATATTGCCTTTTATGTGCCTTAGAGTTTGTTTCGTGTTAAATATTTATCTATATAGTTCAATATATTAACCTTAATTTAAAAACAGGTTGGTTACCTATTGGTTTTTAAATAGTTGGACGAGTAGATTAGTTAAGTTTTATTTTCAGATATAAAAATGTGGATTGGTAGATAAATAAGTATCTAAAAATTTATAAAACGTAGAACATTTATATTACAAATGAATAAAAAAAATAGTGTGCTAGCATTTTTATATCAACAGTACCTATGTATCTAGATATTTTTTTTCCACAAAGAAACATTATTTAGCATTACGATTACTGAGTTGTGTAATAAGATACAAGATTGTACTAATCATATTATAGTATTGTCATTCTTTTTGCGGAAAAGATTGAAGTGACGTAACTCATGTACCTATGAGTACCTAACCTTTATTACGTATTTGAATGCGGTGGAGTCGAGCACATCTCGATATGCTTCTTTGCGTAGGAAATTTTATTGATATTAAAAGTAAGATTATTACTGAGTCGGAGCTCGGTTTATAGTTAACTTTATCGTTGTTTTTATTAGAAAACACGGCTAAACTTAGATAGGCTAGATAGGTATCAAAAGCTGTAATAAAG